TATATTCGTGAACAATTCAGCTTATTTAATTTGTATAAATGCATGTGAGGAAGTGGTCCAGCTCACCTGGTCGCCAACTCACTCTCTCTTATGGGAGGTCTCGTGTCCGAAACTCAATGGAGTGAGTTTCAGCTCGGATTATTCCATGCACCCTAGCCTGAGTAGTCTCCTTCCCACAGTCCCACTGGAATAAAAAAAAATATAAATTCATGAATAAGTTCATAGACTTTTAAAAAGTGGATACACTTTTTAATCCAGACCACCATTGTCGGTTACGGGATTTCCCCTGGATTTCCGCCTCCGATCTACCATAATCTCACCGCCATCCGCCGCCATCGCCAGAGTATGTTGATGCTAGTATGCTACCACCAGACTTATATTAATTAATTAAGTTACGGGTAAAAATATAATGTTTTGTGTTATTGAAGAAAAATCAATCAGCTGCAATCAAGCTTTTTCTTTCATTGTTTTCCTGTTAAAATTTGTTTACTTATTTACGATTATATATTATATATTACTACGTATATATTTATTAGTTTGATATGTAGTACGGAGTTATTTTTTTTTTTTAATTTATGTGTTGGTGGTTTAATGAAACACAATAATTGTTAAATATATTTTTATTTCCTCACAGGTAACAAACAACTTACATAATTGAACCGAAGTGATACTATGAATTCTTATATATGTTCTTCGAAGAAATCTAGAACTGAATTAATATTGTACGTAGTATTAATTAACTTTTCTTCAAATGATGACTCCTAATTTCTTTTCGAAGAATTGAACCGATCCCACCTCTAAATTTTCTACATAAGATTGAGCCCGTTTAGTAACTGTTTTTCGGCTTATCAAACCAATCAGCCAACTTTTTAATCAAAAACGTAATTTTTGATTTCACACACTGAGTTCTGTAATAATAAGAAAAATAAGGTTGGAGTTACTTTTCTGTTTGTATTGGCTGAAGTTACTGTAAATAATCACTTTAGCTATTTTTCATACAATTTTTTCTTTATTTTATTAATAAAATATATTTTAAATATTGTTTTCCCTTAAATTAGCAGAATCAATCAATACGACCACTTCAGTCAGAACTTCATAAATTTCAATAGAATCAGCCGATTCAGTCGATTTTAATGTTACCAAACGGGCTCTATATATAAAAACACTTTTGATTTTTTTAAATTTGTCTTGTTTACCGGAACAGATGTAGATCTACATGTTTAATTAGTACATTTTATTTTACCTCCAATTGTTTTTTGTTTTTGCGTTTTGCTCTGCAATCCATCAATCTTATCTCGCTTTTTTCACCCTTATCTTTCTTCTCTCTTTAGCACTGATACCATGAGTCGATTCATGTTGGTCGATCCTAAATTCTTTTGGGATTAAAGCTTGGATGTTGTTATTGTCTATGTAACACCGATACGGGTACACGGAAACGCGGAAACACGGAAACTGGTACGGGAACACGACAATGCCAAAAAAAGTGAGATACAGATACGGGGCCATATTCATAAATATTCAAAGTTATGGGGGTGTATATATATATATATATATATATATATATATATATATATATGGGTGAGATCACATACTAACCATTTCTCCCATGCTAACCTACAAACTATCAAAAACGGTGCATCTTTACATTATTTGTACTGCATATTGAAGTTCAAAGTGTTGCATATTATTTGTACTGCATATTGAAGTTCAATGTGATGCATATTATTGAGTTAGTAAGTTAGTATTTTAAGCATGGTTAGTATGTGATCTCTTATCTATATATATATATATATATATATAAAGGTATAGGGGTGTATTTATAAATATTAAAAAACACAATTTCTTTTAAATAAAATACACATATATTATCCTCAGATCTCTACCCATTAATGACATTGAATTGAAACATTTTACATTCTCAAGACATACTTAGAAATAAATTCATATTTTTCTCATATACACTAGTGCATCTCAAAATATAAATATAGTCAATAAGTCATTAATTTAAAAGGAGAAATAAGTCAAACAACTACAATTTTCAAATTAAAAATGCAAGTACTCAAAGTTCTAGAATGAATAATGAAGATAAAAAACAATATTTTAAAAGTTCTAATACTTATTTTTGTTTGAGCTATTAATTTCCAGAGATAATTAGAATTAGGATAAAAGGATGGGTGAATTAGGAATGCACCCACTAGTGGTGTACCACATAAGAGAAAGGTAAAAATTATTTTTAGCTTTTCATTTTTAAAGAATTTTATTATGTAAATTTTGAATGTTTTCTAAAGCTCTTTTTTTCGGAGAATTTTTTCAAAAAGTTGATACGTGTATCCACCAGGATACCAGTATCCAAAATTTTAAAATAATTATAAAAAAATGGGAACTTTTAAAAATTGCAGATATGGTCTGAGAATGTATGGTACGAGTATCATAGAGTATAGGATACGAGAACGTTTCCGATACGCCGATACGACACTCTAGTGAAGTATCGTGCTTCATAGGTTATTATTGTCCCTGCAATAATCTATGTTGATTTCCTTTTTAATCCATCATCTATGATGCCAGCATCCAATTGACCTCAAAAACCCCGATTAATAGATATCTAATTCTTTGTCAAGTTATTCAAAAATCATTTAATTTTATTTTGTAAAACTTTTGTTTTCTATATTTTTAACTGTGAATACTTGATTTTACATTGCCTTAACTCTCCTATTAGCCTCAAAAAATTATAAAAGGACAAATTTAAATATTCATGGTAAATTTAAGTAATTGATAGTATCTTTTTATAGTAGGGTGATTCAAAATTAGAGATGAGCCAAAAATCAAATAGTGCATATTTCAGGGATGAAAGACAAAAAAAGATATTTATATGTATCTAATAAAAGTGTGTCATATTTGTAAGAATTGAAAACGAATTTAAGCCTTGTATTAATCATAAATTGGTAAAATAAGATATTAAAGGAGTGTTTGGGGTTGATTAAAAAAAGCGCTTTTCAGCTTTTGGCTTAAAGAAAGTTGAAAAGAGTGTTTTCAAATGATAGCTTCTCCTTAAATTAATCACTTAAAAGCTAAAAGCTGGAAGCAGGTAGAAGGGTGCTTTAAACTGCTTCTCACTTTTTCTATTACACAAAAAGTACTTATTTTACCAAACACTACCAACTTTTACTTTTTCAGAATCACTTTTTCTCAAGCACTACCAACTTTTACTATTAATCACTTTTCCCAAAATCACTGTAAAAAATCATTTTTTTAAAGTTGAAGCAATCGCAAACACTCCCTAAATAATATTCAAATCTTGTACTCCCTCCGTTTCCCAACTAAGTTCCTGGTTTGACTTCACACACATTAAGAAAATAAATTTCACTTTACTATGGAGTGCACTGTTTTGCACTGTTTAAACACTGTTTGACACTGTTTTACACTGTTTGTCACTATTTTGATGTAGAAAATTTGCAAAATAAGGAAAGTATTGAAGTGTAAACTTAATTTAGGAACTTCCGAAAAAAGAAAGTGAGAACTTAATTGAGGGACTATTAGGGCTGAGACCGGTTTGGTTCTTACTCAAAATGAGTGGAACCGTTATAAAAATTTTAACTAATGAAATCGGTTCGGTTCTTATATAAAAAATCAAGAACCGTTATGGAACCGAACCATCACTAAACGGTTCGGTTCCTTCCTTTTACCAGTTCCTAGAATAATTTTTCCTCATCTAAGAATTAAGTCAATAAACACGTCGAAAATTCAAAACAAGCGTATTAAAATTTTATTTGAAGATCTAATCACTTCAAACATAAAAACTCAAACTTAACTAGTGAACTGTGAACACTTAATAGAACAAACAATGACTTAATTTTTCATGCAATAAATAAAACATAAAAGTCATCATCATAGTAGCAAGAAAAGGACGTCTACTTCAAATCTTTCAAAACATACAAAATGAGTAAAGAGTCAGTTTGGTCCTCGAAGTTGCAAAAAAGGGGTCAAATAAGTCCTTATATAGAAGATTCTGTCCGGACGTGCCATTTGAGATGGCTCCCGGTAGAATTTTTTGATGAAATTTTTTGAGCATCTTATTCATTAAGTCTAGTTTACTCATACCAAATTTCAGCTAAAAATTCAATCGGGGAGACATTCAAATGAATTCTTGAAGATAACTACGCTTTTAACGGCACAGTTATCTTCAAGAATTCATTTGAATGTCTTCCCGATTGAATTTTTATCTGAAATTTGGTATGAGTAAACTAGACTTAATGAATAAGATGATAAAAAAATTTAATCAAAAAATTCCACCGGGAGCCACCTCAAATGGAACGTCCGGACAGAATTTTCTATATAAGGACTTATTTGACCCTTTTTTTGCAACTTCGAGGACCAAACTGACCCTTATCTCATACAAAATACACTGAGTTCACATGTACAAATATAAAAACACTATTACATTCTACTTGCTAGTACCATGATTTATAATAAATCTAATAATTAGAAATATCATGAAAATAGTAAAGTAAAATATGTGCAATCGACTATAAGTGATTTGTGTTATTTTATACTTATGTGATGGAACAAAACTTGATTAAATTAGAATTGTTAAATTTTTTGAAGAGAAATTAGAATTGTTACTTAAATATGTATTGTATTATTATTGTTGTGGTAGTTATGATTGTTATTATATTATTATTACTAATACTAATACTATTTTATTTTTTACCGATTATTTTTTTAATAACGGTTTCTTAACGGTTCCATGCACCTTTTTTATAGGAACCAGGAACCGAACCGTTAACATCTAGGAACCGAACCTTAAACAACTAATATCTCATTTGTAGGAACCGAACCGAACCGGGTTATAACGGTTCGGTTCCAACCGGTTCTACAGTCTCCTGTTCCAAAATTTCACCCCCTAGGGACTATATATGAAGCCCATCCTAAAACCTACAACCTATACCGGGTACCAGTTCAGAACCAGTTGACCGGTTGGTGATCCAGGACGGATGAGTACAATTCATTCCAGGACGGATAAGTACAATTCATTCAATATGTGTGTTTATTTTGGTAATAATCAGTGTTTGTGCCGATTTTGGTAACGCCCAACATTAACATAAATAAACACACATATAATAAGTAAGTCAAATTTTTACCACCAAAAAATTTGCAAATAATTCTTATTCCTACTACAATACAACCTTTGGTTAACCGCCTTAGGGCGTTACGGAGCATTATAAATTTATAACCGCGGCGGCCGCTTTTTCCTCAATTATAACCTCTACACTTCTACAGTCTGTAACTGCTGACCCACGTCTCTTTTTTTTTCTTTTTTTTTTCAGTTCTTCAAAATTTGAACTTTCATGAATGAATTTGGGTGCCCGCAATATGACGGTTGCAATCCATTCCGTTGTGTAAGGTTTGTTTCTTTTTCTCTTTTCCACTTCCAGAGCAACTGCTTGCAAGGGTCTCCATTCTCAATCAACTCCAGCTCTTCTTCTTTTACATTCTCCTCTAAAGCTTCAGTAAGTATTCTATTGAGTTTTTTTTTTTCGTTTTATATATTTATTGCATTTATTTTCTTGAGGCGTTGCTATTTTGTTCGGTTCTCCACTTCTCAACTGTTATGTAAAAAGTTTCTAGGGGATTTCCTCTTTATGTTGGATTCTTAAAGCTCGGAAGTCATGCATTCACTGTATATCGTCTTCGGTTCTTTATTCTTTCTCCTGTTATTACTGCGGTGGTTGACGAGTAATAATTTGGTTTGTTTGTGCCGATTTTGGTAATATTTGTGTTTATTTATGTTCACTATTTACTTGAATAGTTGTCTTCTTTATTTGAATAGTTGCATTCCAGTTTTATTTAAAGAACAATTGGGATTCTAGTGGAAGAAATTATTAATGCTTTTGTGTCCCTCTAGTTTTGTTGTTGTTTATAGATGTTTATAATACACTCTGCACTGCTTGTATTGATTATTTGGAAACAAACTGATTTGATTACCGTCTCCGCTTGCGCCATAGACGTTGGAGCCGGGTTTTTTTGTGTCTCAGCAGAATGAAATCGGAATCAATGAGTCCCTGGAAGAGACCCTGTGATTTCGATTACAATGGTGACCCTTATCGGGCAATTGAACCGAATTTCAAGCGCACAAAGTTTGATGGAAACCAAAAAGTTCCTAACTGTAATGGAGTCACACTTGGAGACTGCCTGAGTATTGCTCAGCGTGTTTTTGATATGAAGACTCGTAGCTCTACTAGCTATAATGAAAAACAGAAGGAATTCAGTGACAGTGAGCAGAGATATGCATTGAAGGAAAAATCAAATAATGTTACTGAAATTGGAGTTCCTTCAAAGCATGGTTTGTTTGAAAGGCGACCTTCGATGGCATGTGGGGGGGATTCTTTTCAAGAAGGTGAAGCCATGAAGAAGTGTATGGTTACGATGAAAGTGCAGAATAGAGTATTACAGGGTATTGCACCCAAGAATCCTACAAGTCAGTTTCAACATGGATGTCACCCTGTAATTGACGAAATAGATTCTCATGATTCATTATTGAGGGACCATCATTCACAAAGGCTTGATTTAAAGTGTTCTTTTGAAAACAAAGCTACTGTTGAGCATCCAAGTAGGCAAGTTGCAAATTGTGAAGAGGGCGTGCTGTTTGGTGATAAAGTAGTGGTCTTGAATATGTCAGGACAGTCCAGGGTATCAACCGATCAGACTCTTTACAAAGATGAAGACCATTTTCGTTTGTACTACTATGTTCCCGATTATGGGGTATCTGTTGAGTACCATATTCAGAAACCAAAACAATCTAAAAATTGCATATATCTTCTTTCTGATAGATACAATGTGGAGGAATCCCGCAGACGTGTGGAACAGGCCTTGAAGCATTTTTGGGATGCCTACCATAGACATTTGCAAGCATATGAAGCAGAGAGGCATGACCATGTAAAAGTTAGTCATAGGACTTATGTAAAGACAGCAGTGGATCTTAGATCTGCGAAAAAGTGGGTGAATTCTGAAAAGTTCTATGTTGGGCATGTTCCTGGATTAGAAATTGGTGACAAATTCCAGTTTAGAGCTGAACTTGCTGTAGTAGGCCTTCATCACCAATTTGTGCATGGCATAAATTATGTGAAAATACAAGGGAAGAACTTTGCAGTTAGCATAGTCGATTCCAGCCGTTATGATAACCAGATGATATCACGAAACAGTTTCATATATGTCGGTCACGGTGGAAATCCAAAACTTTACGGCAATGATCCTAAGGATCAAAAGCTGATTTGTGGCAACCTTGCCCTGAAAAATAGCATGGAAAAAGGTGTACCTGTAAGGGTTATCCGTGGTAATGACGTGTACGTATACGAGGGCCTTTTTCGGGTGACCAAGTGTTGGGAAGAAAGAGAGGACTACGGAAAAATGGCATTCAAGTTCGAGCTCCATAGAATCTCAGCCCACCCACCACCAAGCCTCACCAACAAAAAAATCTCCGGGTGCCAAAAGTTAAGAAAACTCAACACGGAACGCATTGTGGTCAAAGACCTTTCTCAGGGTAGGGAGAATTTCGCCATACCCGTGTTTAGTGATTCATATGCCGATACACCGTCATCTTTCAGTTACATGACAAGCATTAGATATCCTGACTGGTATCATCTGTCAGCCCCACTTGGCTGTATTTGCGAAAATGGGTGCTCAGATTCTATTCATTGCTATTGTGCATTTAAAAACGGAGGTAGTATCCCGTTCAACAGCCAAGGATCTATTAGTAATATTCACTCAAAACCCGTTATCTACGAATGTGGCCCGTCCTGCAAATGCCCACAGTCGTGCAGAAACAGAGTTAGCCAAAAAGGCTGCCGGTATCAGCTTGAGGTCTTCAGGAAAGGATCAGATGGTGGGGGATGGGGGGTCAGGTCGCGGGATTACATTTCAGCCGGGAGCTTCATCTGTGAGCTTGTTGGAGAGTTGGTTGAAGACGACTGTAATGGCAAAGGATTTGGTTACAGAATTGATGGAAGTGGTTTCAGAATCGACACGGAGCGTTACGGAAATGTGGGGAGATTTATCAATTGTGGCCTGGCAGCGAACATTTATCCACAGAATGTCGTGTACGATGATGATTACGAGATTGTCCCTCATGTAATGTTCTTTGCTTCTAAGAGCATTCCACCAGGGCGTGAACTTATACGCCCTGTTTAAAGTCTACATAGAGAGTGATAGAGAGTCCTGCACAGCTTATTAGCACTAACCAATCAGTATCATAGGAAGTTCTCTTTCCATGGTCTGACCCAACCAACCTCGGATTAGGATATAGGAAATGCTATTTTAAACTACCTTTGACACCACATCATTTTTTGTTGGCACACACTAATGGGCCAATGGCAAAGGAAAATATGATCTGGGTTCCAAATTGGTGAGTTGTTAGTGTCTGTGTAGCATTATCCTAGTGAGATTGTATATTCTTTTGACCTCTTTTCTAGTCAATCTGGCTTCTTATGATGTAGCTTCTTTGCTTCTATGTTTTGAAGTTACAAAAATGTCTTGCAAGCAGTTAGTTGGTTTGATGGATGAGAGTAATTTTTGAATGGGTAATGCGTCTTAGTTCTTACATCATGTGTTAATGACACCTTAATGTGCATACTATTTTAATATATTCTAGTAAGCGAATCTCATATGCTTAATGATATATATCTGATATTTTATATATGTGTGTGTGTATCATATGTAATTATTTTTTGAATGGTTGCACGCTCACTGTAAATTTTGGAAGGGTGATTAATACTCCCTCCGTCCCAGGGAGAAGTTCCCGGGTTGACTTTCACACATATTAAGGAAATAAAGTTACTGAGGGGTAAATTTTACTGTTTGGCACTGTTTCGACACTGTTTGGCACTGTTTCGACACTGTTTGACACTGTTTGGCACTGTTTTGACACTGTTTGGCACTGTTTCGACACTGTTTGACACTGTTTTGCACTGTTTGGCACTGTTTTTATGTAGGATAACTTTCCATTTAAAGAAATGAGAACTTTTTGTTGGGACTGCCAAAAAAGGAAATTAGGAACTTCTCCTTGGGACGGAGGTAGTACAATAATACTAGTAATTATTATAGAGGTAATATTCTAAAGAAATGGTACTAGTAATTCAAAAAAATGAAAGAAATGGTACTAGAAACGGTAAAACCGTTTTTCACTGATTTCGGCATCTCATTCTCTCCATCAATCATATTAATTACCTTAATTAATTAATAATCATATGATTAATCAACCCTTGCGTAATTACTGAAGAGAGAGGGGTATTGGGAAGATGTATAGATCAGGAAGCGCTAATAGAGTATGGGATGATTACGTGAAATACGATTCATCATCTTCTTCTTCATCGAAACATTCTCCTGCAATTATTAAAGGTTTGTCTCTAGAAACAAACGACGAATTCAACGAGCCGCCAATCTCCTCCGATCACGTGACCAAGAAAGAAAGGGGTCGTACAAAGCTTGCTGAGAATGCCGTCCATTTAATCCCTTTGGTTCTCTTCCTATGTGCTTTCGTTCTTTGGTTTTTATCCAATCCCGGTAATTAATTTGTTCCCTTCCAATTAATGTATTCAATTGGACAGTTTCTAGTCTCAAATCAGATCAAACCACCGGTTCAAATGCATAAATAGAACCTTATTTATTAGTAGTGTTGCATTTTGGTACCTTACTTCTTAAATATAACAAAACGATACCTTAATTAAAATGTTTCAAATTGAGATTTTATTCAAATTTCCGACAAAAAAATCATGCATAGCGGCCTGAGTTCTATGCATAAAGTCTACTTCACCTTAGTTTGTTCATATGATCACTATTGGGTGGCTCTACACATGGAATTCCGATCGTCATAAAGGGTGTTTTGGTCGGAAATTTGGATGAAATCTCAAATTGAAACATTTATACATCGCTAATGTACCATTTTGATTCATTTTAGAGTTAAGATATCAAAGTGCAATATTATGTCATTACCAATAGTTAAAGAATCATTTATGACGAAGGGCATTAATCTCAATAAAAGTTTTAGAAAAATTGTGTTTGGAATGACCACCTACATAGTAAGCACAATAAATTAAATCTTTTATCAACCATTCGTTGTACATATTTTGGAATGATACTTCCCTTGTGATTATATTTTGGTGTTACGCAGACCAGATGCAATTAGATTACATTTAGGCTACGTAAAATATGAATATGTCCCATTTTACAAGATTGATATGGATTGATTGATAATTTCGTACCAAATAACTCCTGTCAAAGTGTTTTTAACACAAATTTGACATGTCCCTGTCAAATCTTTTATGAATTTTAGTGAATCTGGATCAAAAGTTTTTGTCAATATTTTGTTTTTAGTGTTATGTACACCAAACTTAAACAAATCAAAATCATATTAGATCGGACGATTCCATTTGAGTGAAAAGATTCCAATTTTTATATATGTTTTCCATGTATGTTTATTTAATTTGTGAATTATATGTGTGCAGATATTGAAGTTCCAATTGGTGGGGATGCGGTGGCGGCAAGAATAGAGGGGATGACGATAGAAGGGGACGTGGATAGTAGCGATGGTACACAAACGGGGAATTTGCCACTAGAATTGAATGAGATTGATACGACCAGAAAAAATCAAAACAGAAATTATCGTGAATAATATAATCATGGTAATAAGAATGGATCGTTTTGGGAGCAATTCAGGCGTGTTAGAAAATTATCATTTAGTTATGGAATGATTATAAGTTTATAACTATGTAATTTTCCATCCATCTGCTTAATTAATTATCACGTTTTTAGTTTTATATTATTCTGTTCGTACATTGGATGAACTAGTTTCAAGCCGTGTGATGTATAATACTCCCGGTCTCCCTTCGTCCGGAAAAAGGTTGGCCATAGTTGACTTCCACATGAATTAATAAAGTAAAAACTGTGTGGTTGAAATTTGTGCAGATAAGAGAGAATTAATTTTAGTCACATATTCCTTACTTTAAATGGAAATGACAAATCTTTTTGGGACATCCCAAAAAATAAATTTGGTCAACCTTTTTGGGACGGAGGCAGTATACATGAGCTTGAACTAATTAAGTAAGGGCATCCTCATCATTGTTCACTTTATTGGAGATCAAATTGACTTTGTGGAAGACAAATTTTTTAGATTAAGGTTCATTAGATAAGAATATTTAGAGACATAATTCAGGAAGAAATCTTGGATTCAAAAATCGCTATACGGTTAAGCAATGAGCAATTGAGAACGTTAGTTTTTATTATGAAAAAGGCTGCGGCTAATTTTTTACATTTCGTTGGGAAATAAAGTACCGGTTATCTATTGTTCCGAAACTAGAACAGGTTGCAATGGTTACCATTTACTACGTATTTAACATTTCAATTGAGCTAACATTTATTTAACAATATCGACCACATACGATCAATTAATTATTTGTGTATAAATAAGCTTTACATACTAAGGATTGTAAATTAAGATCTGTATCTATTAATTAATATTAATTTACAATCCATTTTTTTGCAAAGATTAATTTACAATCCTTTGTAAAGCTTATTTATGCCTACCAAATTAAACATGCTTGAAGAGTAACTGATAATTTACCGGAGGACCCTTAGCGACACGTATCTAGAGAGGAGGAGCTATATATATATATAGAGAGAGAATGAAATGCTAGTAATAAATGGTTTACGAGGTGAGGTGATTAAGTATAAGAGCATCTCCATTCATACTCTCTAATTAAATAAATGATTTTTTCATTACACATCATTGCAACATCACATGTATTTAATAAATTTGAAATAATCTCAAAGCTTAAAACTATTCATCAACAATAATACTCAAATAATCAATTTTTTCTGGACATGCATTAAATGTAATTTAACTACAATCTGAAATAATCCAGGATTGAAATCTTGATACCGAATTTTCTTTTTCAATAGTTTTATTAAATAATCACTCACTCACAATGATAATTTTTAAAATAATTTTACGTACACATCATCCAATTGATCTTCAAATAATCTCATAGATGAGGATGTCCTAAGAGGAATATCGTTTACTTCTGCCCGAAGGGGTATTTATACTAGTAATAAACGTTAGATACATTAAATATATGCACGTACAAGTATTAGCTAGTCTGACAAAAGCATTGCGATATGACAGAATGTGACACATGACGCCTGATGACACCTGCGGAGTGGTGGACGAGGTAATATGGGACGACTGAACGAGAGATGATGGTTCTCGTCCATGTTCCAACTGGTTCACCGTTAATTTATATTTGTTTCCTTTTAGATGGTTGAGACCCGAGTCGGGGATGAAGTGTTAGAGGCCAAGGAAGTTTGTACGGGTCGAGATGTTGGCTCAATGTATCCTCATGATCCTTTGTATTGTTTCCATGTATTCTGTGAAAGTGGTTCCTCGTCTGTTCGACGGTCCAAACAAGGCCGGACATGGTCATCATATATATGGAGTATAGTAAAACACCGATGGTATGATAAAATACACAATAATATTTTTATTTAGAGCCACATATTTGTAACTACAGCCACATTATTCGATATAATTGAACAAATATTTCATTTTCGATAAAATTTATCCTTCTTCCTCATAAGCTCATCGATATTTCATTTTCGATAAAATTTATCCTTCTTCCTCATAAGCTCATCATATCGTGATTTGGATGATGGATGTATGACTTGCTTAGTTGCTTTTACAGTTGTGCAATTAGACAAATTAGAAATAAATGGAGTTAAACCTTCCCTAAAATGGTCAAATCCTTACAAAAATCATGTAACGACTCTTGAAGATTTTTGTAATTCTAGTAAAACGAAATTGAACTATGTTACTTACTGATCAAACGAATTGAAAGTATATAAAGTAGATTCAACTTGAGCTTTTCGGCGACCAATAGGTACAAACGGAAAGAGAATGACCTAATCTTGACACCAAACCCGTAGATCAGTCATTATTTTCTTTGTCACACTACCAAGAAAACTTGTTATAGACTCAAATTATGGCAGAGACCACTTCCTAATTTTCTCAGACTATCGGGCTTGGCTCAGAATTTGAATCCGAGCTACCTAGCTCGTGCCAAACTTGTCGGCTCGGTTTTTCCTTCCGTGTCAAATGTTGGCTCGGAATTTGGCAAGATATTGTGTTCCAACAACAACAGCTAGAAAGAAACTATAAGTTTGGCTCGAATTTAAGTTTAGCTCAGACTTAGGCTTGAAATAGCAGTTCTAAATATCGCATTGTATCACTAAAAGAAATACGGATTTTAGTGACAGAAAAATTGTCACTAAATCCGTCACAGATTAACTTAGCGTCGGATATTTGTGGCGAAAATTCCGCCACTAAAATCTTGTTCTGTGCCAAAAATGCACTCCGTGCCAAAAACTACGGCTAATTTTTACATTTCGTTGGGAAATAAAGTACGGGATTTTATTTTCGTTCGGAAACCCGAAACTAGAACAGGTTGTGATGGTTAATATTTATTTAACATTTCAGTTGAGCCAACATTTTTTTATTATATAAAACTCACAAGGTACGATCAATTTATTTGTGCATAAATAATAAGTTTTATTTGAATTACATTAATTAATAGATATAGATACTTTGGGAATCAAAGTTTTTACTTTCC